TTAAAATTAAATTGTAAAAAAGTAATTTCTCTCTCCGATTTTCCCCTAAACCTCTTCCAAAAAACCTGCCCCATTTTCATTATTCTCTCCGCTTCTCCCCACCACTTGTTCTTCTTCCTCTCAGCTATTCACGACGATGGTCGAAGCTATGAAGGGTGGATGACGACATGGATGTGAACCGTGTTTCCGACCGAAGATCTCTCTCGCTTCGGATCTCGCTCCAGATCTCGAGCGCACCAACAGCGTGCAGTCTATCGCTAGAGAGGATCGAGATGACAGCGGCAGAAACTGGGTGGTGAGGTGGTATGGTCTTTAACTATAACAAAGGCGTGTGGGGGCGGTAGGGATTTTAGAGAGAGAAAGGAAAAAAAAATCTATTTTTAGAGGGAGAGGGTGGGATAGCTTTCTTTAATGGTAATATATTGAGATAGAACGGACCAAATAGGTGGGGGAAAATTGACAAAATAAACTAGTGACTGCTGACATCACCAACTTTATCAAATGACTTCTTATGCCCCTTTTGTTTTTATTTCTCTTGCAGACTTCATCCCTCTTCTCTCTCATCCACTAATATTTCCTCTCTATTTCCTCTCTCACCTCCATCTCCCTTTTTTTCCTCCTTTTTTCATTATTCTCTTTTCCTCTTTTGGGTGAAACTTTTTTTTCTCATTTTTTTTAAAATTTTCGGGGTTTCTCTTTTCCATCTTCCGTCTTTCCCTATTTTTTCTATTACTATTATTCTCTTTCTTCTCTCCTCACCACAAAAAACAATTTTTTTCCTCCATGATTCCCGTGACTTTTAGCAATCACTAATGATGGATGCATCAAAGCCGACGAAAGAGGTTGTTCGCCAAAGAAAGAAGATCAGTGGGGGAGGAGATAAAGAGAGAGAGAGCGAGGGTGAACGTGAGGGAATCTAAAAATACTATCTCAATATTAATTCAAATTTGTTTCCCAAAATCTATTCTCAATCTCGTTAAATCTCTCAACCTAGTTTTAATTAGGATTGAATTAAAAACCTTTCATTTTGATTTCATTTCTTTCCATCCTAATTTAAAATTTAATCAAATGAAAATATCAATTTAAAATCTAATTACAAAAAGAGAGTATTTGAATTTGAAATTTGATTCAAATTTGTTTCCCAAAATCTCTTTTTTAATTAGATTTTAAATTGATACATTTGATTAAAATTTAAATTAGGAATGAAAGATGGGAAAGCAAAATTGGGGATTTGAAAAGCAAAATTGGGGATTTGAAATTCAATTATAATTAAAACTGAGAAATTTAAGGAGATTGATGAGAGATTTCGAGAAATAATTTGAATTAATATTGAGATTCTGTTTTTCTCAAAATTAGTTTGATTTGATAAACATTAATTCAAAATTAATTTTTAGATACTATCAAAAAAACAATATCATTAAAAAAATATTATTTTTAGATTCCCTCAATTCTCTCTCGCTCACCCTCGCTCTCGCTCTCGCTCTCTCTCTATCTCCTCCCCCATTCCTCTTCCAGTGAGCTTCTTTCTTCAGCGAATGACCTCCTTCGTCGGTTTTGATGCAGCCGTCGTCAGCGAAGTCACGAGAACCATGGAGGCTCTGCTCGTTTTTTAAAAAAAAAAAAGATGAGAGATTTAGGGTTTTTTTTTAAAGTAAATTGCTTTTTGTGGTCAGTAAAGAAGAAATGGAATAATAGTAATTAGAAAAAATACAGAAAGATGGAAGAAGGAAAAGAGAAACTCCAAGAAAATTTTAGAGAGAATGAGAAAAAAAACTTTGCTGAAAAAGGAAAAGAGAATAATGAAAAACGATAAGAAAAAAATAATCTGGAAAAAGAGGGAGATGAAGGTAGATAGAGGAAATAAGTAGAGAAGTCTAAAATATCAATGGAGGGGTAGTGAGGGTCACTTGATGTGAAGGTGATGTCAGCAAATGTCTATAAAACTTGTGTTTTGAAATCTATATAAGCATTCTATAGGGCACTTTTAAGTTTTTTAATTATCATTTTCAAAACACAAGTTTTATAAGCATCATCACCTTCACATGACCCTCACTACCTCCATCTCCCTCTTTTTCCATATTTTTTTTCTTATCGTTTTTCATTATTCTCTTTTCCTCTTTCAACAAAGTATTTTTTCTCATTCTCTCTAAAATTTTCTTTCTCTTTTCCTTCTTCCATCTTTCTGTATTTTTTTTCTAATTACTATTATTCCCTTTCTTCTTTACTGACCACAAAAACAACAATTTACTTAAAAAACAAAACTTTAAATCTCTCAGGTTTTTTTTTAAAAAAACCAGTAGCATCCATGGTTCCTGTGACTTCGCTGATGGCGGCTGCATCAAAACCGACGAAGGAGGTCATTCGTCGAAGAAAGAAGCTCAGTGGAAGAGGAATGAGGAAGGAGATAGAGAAAGAGAGCAAGGGTAAGCGAGAGAGAGAGCGAGGGTGAGCGAGAGAGCGAGGGTGAGCAAGAGAGAGAGAGCGAGGGTGAGGGTGAGCGAGAGAGAATTAAGGGAATCTAAAAATAATATTTTTAATGAGATTGTTTTTTTATAGTATCTAAAAATTAATTTTGAATTAATGTTTATCAAATCAAATTAATTTTGAGAAAAACGGAATCTCAATATTATTCAAATTGTTTCCCGAAATCTCTCATCAATCTCCTTAAATCTCTCCAAAATTGAATTTCAAATCCCCCAATTTTGCTTTCAAATCCCCCAATTTTGCTTTCTCATCTTTCATTCCTAAGTTAAATTTTAATCAAATGTATCCATTTAAAATCTAATTAAAAAAGAGATTTTGGGAAACAAATTTAAATTAAATTTCAAACTCGAATACTTTCTTTTTATAATTAGATTTTAAATTGATATTTTCATTTGATTAAATTTTAAATTAGGAAGGAAAGAGATGAAAGCAAAATGAGAGGTTTTTAATTCAATCTTAATTAAAACTACGTTGAGAGATTTAATGAGATTGAGAATAGATTTCGGGAAACAAATTTGAATTAATATTGAGATAGTATTTGGCTCAACCTCGCTCTCTCTCGCTCACCCTTGCTCTCTCTCTTTATCTCCTCCCCCACTGATCTTCTTTCTTCGGCGAATGACCTCCTTCGTCGGCTTTGATGCATCCATCGTCAGCGATTGCTAAAAGTCACGGGAATCATGGAGGAAAAAAAGTTGCTTTTTGTGGTGAGTAGAGAAGAAAGAGACTAATAGTAATAGAAAAAATAGAGAAAGAGGGAAGATGGAAAAGAGAAACTCCAAGAAAATTTTAGGGAGAATGAGAAAAAAAAGCTTTGCTGAAAAGAGAAAAAGAGAATAATGAAAAACGATAAGAAAATAGAGAGGAGGAAAAAAAATCTGGAAAAATAGGGAGATGGAGGTAGAGAGAGGAAATAAGGAGGGAGTCTAAAATGTTAGTGGAGGAGAGAGAAGAGAGATGGAGTTTGGAAGAGGAAAAAATGCAAGAGGGGCATGGGAGGTCATTTGGCAAAGTTGGTGATGTTAGTAGGGACTAGAAAATTTGTGTTTTGGGGAGGGCGATTAAAAAATTAAGAGACCCTGAAGGTTTATTTTATCAATTTTCCCAAGAGAAAGGGAGATTGGAAGAGAACGAAGAAAAGAGAGAAAAAAATGAAAAAGATGAGAGTGAAGAATGAGAGAAAAAAAAAGAGAAACAAGAAAAAATGATAAAGGGCAAATATGTAATTTCACACCAAAGTGACGTAAGTAAATTGTTAGATAACATAAATTTTGGGGTGAAGACATCTATCAAATGAGCCTATGAAAAATGACTATTCAACCCAAAAACCTAAACTAATACCTATTATGTTTAGTGTTTCAGGTGCTTCAGTTCGTATAATGTAAATCTCGTATCATATCAATTATAAATAAAGCCCTTTCAAACTAGTACTTTTTGTAATTGACTCTATAGATTTTTAAGATAAATGTTAATTCTTCGATTAAGTTTTGAATTACTTTTTAGTCAAATTGTTGTCATTCGAAGCTTTAGATAAATGTTCTATTGAAATATTTGCCCTTGTGGTCTCTTGTTTACATTCCAATGATTGGTCGAACGAATAAGTTAACTTCAAAGTGGATTTATTAATTCATCTTGTTCTTCCTCTAAGGTTCTATTTACTTACCCGCAATCGTAATAAAGAATCGTAATGAAAACTTTCTTCCCTATGTTTACCAAATTTCATGAATGAAATCAAATTGTGGTAAATATAGAGGTTTAATTATCCATCTCACATTTATCGTACTAAAAAAACATTCAAAACAATGATAGAATAAATTGAATATTTTTAAACATAATGAAGACTAAATTGAAAAATACCAAACATTAGCACTAAAAATATATTTAGCGTAACGAAAATTAGAAAATGTTAAACAAACATACCATCGTAGACGTTACACTAATATAACGTGATATTAATATTAATTAATTTTTTAAACTTATTTAAAATAGAAAAATATTTTTTTAACTTATATATTTTTACCATTTTTAACTCCTTTGACTTTTACAGAAATACTAATCGACATCGATATTGTCGATATTTCAATAAAATTGAGACATCGACGTTTTCATCGACATTCCTTGACTATGACAAAAGACGAATCAATAACTCTGTGGTAGAAGGAGTTAAATTAAATATAAATTATTTTATTGCAATAACAGTAATTTTGTAGACAATTAAAAAAAAGTAATAAATAATATCTACTACATTTTTTTTGACACAATATCTACTACATAATTGTTAATATTTTGATAATTTCAAATACTTATAAATATGACTTACAAATTAAATTGACCACAGGTAAACGATAGAATTTGTACACTTTGAATAAAAGAAGGGTTTATAACACACACACACATATATTTAAGTAAATAAAAACAGAAAATAGAAAATAGAACTTGAATATATAGTTCTCTAATTTTTAGTTTCCTCCCTCTTCTCTCGGATAATAGTGGAAGTGGCGGTATATAAAAGGTTGTGAGCAGATCTGTTCTTCCATTTACTCGAAAATTGATTTGTCTGATACTCTGTATTGAGCTCTTCTTTCCTCTCTCTGCTCCCTCCCTTCGAGGGTTTTTATTTTCTTTCTTTTATTTTTTTCTCCTCTTCCCTACTTGTTTTCGTTTGTTTTTTCGTTTGTTTTCTTTTTCTTTTTCTTTTTTCCTTGTTTTTTCTTCGTTCTGAAGCCCCCCAATTCAAGATCTTCGTCTCCTTCATCTCAATCTCACTCTTCGTGAAAGATGCAGTATCAGAGGCTTAGACAGCAGGCAATGATGCAGCAGTCTCTGTATCCCCACCCCGGTCTCCTGGCCGCTCCTCAGGTTTCTACCTCTCTTATAGTTTTTATTTTTTTATTTTTTTTATCGTTAGATTTGGTTGTAAGTTATGTATCCTCTTCTGATCGATTATTTATTCCTCAGTTTTTCTGATTCCACGAGCTTGGATCTCTCTCTCCAGCTATATTCTCTTGAAATCTGGGTTCCTTTTATCAATAAGATGTCATCTTGTTTTTTTTTTTGTTTTGTTTTGTTTTTTTTCCATTTTCATAATAAATGGTAACAGGGAAGATTTCATTGGTGAACTAAAAGTTCAAAGGGTGATAAGATATCAATCTTAGAAAGGAGCCCCGGGGGTGGAATAACTTTCTCCAATTGGTATTGATAAAATTGAATCATGGCGAAGAAAACATTTTCACGAGGAGCTATACCAAAAAGTATTGTACTGAACAGTATCCCAAATGACCCTTTCCCAAGTGTTGCGAAAAAGTGTATGGTTTCTTTTCCACCACAACTTCCAAGCCAAAGCCTTGATGTTTAGAAACATGGCCATTGAGAAGCTGTTCAAGACTTCCGACCCAGGTCAAACGCCTGTAGTAAGAAAAACTAAAGCCCCCGAGTTGTTGGAAAATGAAGAAACAGGTGGCTTTGGGTCTTAGGATTCTCTTGGCATGGCACAAAAGACAACAATTAGGTTTGGGGTTAAACAATCATACATGATGTCCAGAGACAATATTCCTACTCGATTGAAAGAAGCACATGGACATTAACCTTGTGTGCATGGCCTTTTATCAAATTTAAAACCATGTATTGTTTCCCTGTTTTTCTCTGAGTTCGTCTTTTTTTTTTTCCCTCCTTCCCTCTCCCCCCTATTTCACTTTGATTGGCCTATTTGTGTGCACATACATACATGATGAAATTTGGGTGCTAATGAGTAGATGACAATTGATTAACTGCTTTGCAAATAATCCTCCTTTCTTTTCTTCCTGCACGAATTGTTGCCATCATTATGAGAGTCTTAGGAGCTAGAAAATAGTTATTCCAGTACAAATGTGGCTGTTACCTGTTGCATTTGGTAACCTAAATAAGAGAAAGGCATCCAGATAACTGTTCGGAAATATGATTATTGATGTACCACACCAGTACCATATCTCTCTTTACATGAGCTTCCCTGAAAAGTCCTTGGAGATTTCTTGTTGAAGAACATGAGAGTCAATTGGAGTCTTTTTCAAGCCTGGAATTAAAACATTACCCATTGCCTGTGGCTTTGAGTCTGTTAGTGACACTATTTTTACATAATCTTTTCCATATGTCGCTGGAATTTGGGTGAGGAGTGCAAATATGTTTTTCTAGGAAGATTTTGTTTTCCCTTTTCCCTTTCTTGTTTTTTACTTTTTTATTTTGCAGATAGAGCCTATCTTGAGTGGAAACCTGCCTCCTGGCTTTGATTCAAGTACATGCCGCAGTGTGTGAGTGTTAAATAGATATTTTATTTTCCTCTTTCTATTTGTCATTTAGTTCATTTTAACTTTTACAAAGTAAGATGGAGTCTTGACTTGGATTAACTTGTACCTTTCTTGCCTTAGATATAGAGTTCCTCATTGGGTTTGGCATTTGTTGATTGATCTCCATGACACTTCACATCATGATCATTGTTTGCTAAAACTGATACCATTCTGGTTTGTGTGTTGTTTGAATGAATTTGATTACACTGACTGCTATTACATTTCTGGTATTTTTTGTGCTTAATAAGCTATCAATCTGATATGATGGGAAAATATAGGTATGTTGGAAACATTCATCCTCAAGTCACCGAGCCTCTTCTTCAAGAAGTTTTCTCAAGTATTGGACCCATTGAAGGATGTAAGCTCATTAGGAAGGAGAAGGTGAGGTTTCCTTTTAGATCGTGATTGGTTGCTATATGACCTCTTTCCACGATGATAATAAGTACCATTGATTAATAACTCTTTTTGGCTTGGGCTTTTTTTGTATTTCCCTCTTGTATTCTTTCATCTGTCCTCAATGAAAGTTGTGTTTTTCCATTAAAAAAAAGTACCACCTATTAGAGTTTGATGTATTTTTTCCTTCCTTCAATAACTAGTTGGTGGAATTATTTCAAATAATCCAGGGTTATCCTCATAGATCAGGATCTTCTTTAAACATGTTTTTTGTTATATAAATTGCCGCTAACATTATGTCTTAAGTTTTATTACTATTTATGCAGTCATCCTATGGTTTTGTGGACTACTTTGATCGCAGATCGGCTGCAGTTGCTATTATTTCTCTCAATGGAAGAAACCTGTAAGTGGAATTATTTCTGGCATTTTTATTGACACTGACCAAATCATATATTTCATTATAATTTTGCACAGGTTTGGACAACCTATAAAAGTTAATTGGGCATATGCAAGTAGTCAGAGAGAGGACACATCTGGTTGTATGCTTAGATTGTTTCTTTTTCCTTTGATTCTATTTCTAATGATGATGAGTTTGTAGTATCTGGCGGCTGATTTTTTAAATGGTGTTTTTGTGCAGGTCATTTTAATATATTTGTTGGTGATCTTAGCCCTGAGGTTACTGATGCTACGTTGTTTGCATGCTTTTCTGTTTACCCCAGTTGTTCGTAAGTTTGTTCTCCACATTTTTGTTTATGCAGTCTGTCTGCTTGGCTTATGTTAAAATGTTTGAGATGTGGTTGAGCTTAACTTATTGCCATTCATTCAACTGCGAGCGCCTTGCTCTAGCACCTCTAACTTTTCTTTCCTTAAATACTTCAGGGATGCAAGGGTTATGTGGGATCAGAAAACTGGACGGTCGAGGGGTTATGGGTTTGTTGCCTTTCGGAATGAGCAGGTCTGGAATGTTTTTAATAGGACGTTTTACCCCTTCTTGACTCTTCAGGTTATTCGATGATTGTCATAATTGTTTGTTTGTCTGTTGATTTGTTTATTCTGTTTTCAGGATGCTCAAAGTGCAATTAATGACATAAATGGTATACCTACTATCCCCCTAAATGTTTCATATTATTCTATTCAGTGATCTAGCTAACCATATCATGTGCATTAGCCATGCATGTAGGACTTGAAATGAAATGAGAATTTAATCATTATGTTATGGAAATGAGAAATAGAGTAAGAATTATCTTACAAGAAATGTGAAGGATGGAAACTTGATATGAAAACCCAAGGGAACTGAATATGAGAGCCTACCTAACAATTGGATCAACTCAAAAGTCAACTTGATTTGTATTGTCTTTGGGTCAATGACCAAGAAGTTAGGAAACTTGTTTCTTATTCAAGGTTGAAACATTCCACAAGTTTAGTGATCAATCAATTTGAGAATGTTTGTGGGGTCGTGCAACACTAACTAATGCATCGAATTGCAAAAGGGTTTTGCAAAGGTTTTTGGCCTTTTAAGTTGCTCAAAGGCTGAATATTATTCCATTGAAGTCTTAATTACAATGACCTAAACAAGGCACATAAATAGCCTCAAGGGGCAGCAAGAAAGGAACGAAAACCCTAAAAGATCTCCTAAACAAACAAGGGATAAATCATATCAGTCCAATGAGAGTCTGAGACAAATCTAAACAAATTATTGTGTATTCTAAAACAATCTCCCCTCCCTAATACATCAATGAGGGTGGTGGCTAGGGCTTAAAATTAAGGGTAATGAAATCCTAAATAGTTGTCCAATATAAAGAGTCAATACAAGATTCAAGATAAAAAAATAGTCTTAAACTAGGATGTTTCTGTGGGCCTCCCTAAACTATTCCTTTTGGATTGAGTTCGAGTAGCTTAGATTCTTGAAAAAAATATTTTCAATGCAATCTCGATAAGCTTGGAGCCTCAAAAAGGAGTTTGGATTGGCAATATGGGCTTGAATCTTATTTGGTTATTGGGCTTGAACCTTGGACAGAATTCCTGAATTGTTGGCTTGGTTCATATAAAAACTATTTAAAATATTATATGGGATATTTTTTTTAGACCAAACTTGTGTAATAAAGTATGCATACCAGGTTCTAAGCAGGGCATAGAATGTTGAGCAACAGATGACATGTCGCACAGGGGACATAAAATTTCTTCCCCCAAGTCAACGACATCTCCCCTTTGACATATCACGTACACAGACAATTTTTTTGAACTATAAGGCCCATGTACTAGGTGGGGATAGACTCTTCCAACCATGAAATAACCAATGTGGGACAAGGGCGTTTTCCCATTCTCTCTTTCAATACCATCTCTCTCCTTTCCTCCTCACACCACCTTATTTATTTTGCTAATCTTCTTTTCTGGGTTCAAAAATAGATTAGATGTATTTCTTTTTCATATTATTATTTTTTTGACACTTGTTTTTTTTTTCATTATTTTACGTTCCTTATTTTTGTCATTAGTTTTTTTTTAAAATAATCTCTATAATTTATGTGGTTTTTTTAAAAGTTCTATCAACATTGATATTGTTACTTACATTTTTGTAAAATTAGATTATTTAAGTGTGCACATATTTGTATTCATATATCAATATTAAGATTATTTATGTTATGAGTAGTAAAATTATAAAACTATTTTAATTTTTTTACAATTATTTAGTTATATTCAAAATTGAAAATTGATATTATTCTTAATTATATACAAATATTACTTATATTTATGAACATGAGAATTAAAAATGTTTAGTTATAGCATAATTAAGTTATAGTTACAATTTCCACCCATTCTATGTTTTTCGGTAATCTTTTTTCAAAATTTCCATCAATATTGATTGTTTCATATCAATATTACTTATATTGTTATATATGATTTTTTGAACAAGAAACAACTTTTCATTGATATACGAAAAAGAAAAATGTTCAAGATACAAAACCCCCGGGGGGTGAAAAAAGAAAAGAAAAGAGAGAAGAATAGAAAAATAACGAATAAATATTGCAACAAGAGCAATACAAGCTCAAAAGAGATAAAAGCATTCTAAAATAGAACTCAGAAAAATTGCTTGCTACCGATCTTAGAAAACCAAACTAATTCCAGGGTCAACAACCGTATGAGGGAAAAACCTTCCTTAGCACCAAGAGTGAAGACCAAACTCCAAAAAGAACCAAGTAGAAGCTAGGGGCACAAGAACAGACCGCAACCGAAGTGCTAATAAGGAGTAAACACCAAATACGAAGCCTCAATGCTGTCTTAAAAAAACTTCCAAATATAAACCATAAAATGTCAAACCACACGCTGGAGAAAAACTTTGAAAACCTCATAAACCAACCAACCTAACTAAAACTGCAAAGCTTTGAACTCTGTAGAAGGCATGTTTGAGAACATTCCAACATTCCGAACAACTTAAAGCTCAGAGAACAGATTCAAATGGGACAAGAGTAATCACCATTTATTCAAAAAAGGAAGGAATAGTTCTTTGTTGTGGGAGAATTGGCTTCTCATCTTCTTTTTTTCGTTAAATAAAGATTGAAAATCATCCGCAAAAGAATGCTCAGAAAATTCCTCAATTGGGATGTTTGACTTTGGAGAAGAGTCTAAACTACTAATACTGATTGCACCATCGTCATCTTCAAGATCATTATTCGAGAATTCTAAGGAAGATGATCTAAGAGGCAAACCCTCGTTAGTGGAGTGAATAGAGCCAATGGACAGAACATTTATCTTATTCGTACTATCTTTACTAACTACTCGTTCCTCGAAGAAAGCAGGTTAACTTGAACCCCTTTAGCTACCGAGGGCTTTGCAAGCTCCTTTCCAAAATTAGTATTTGGCTTTCTACGAGAGCAGTAAAAAGGAAGGGGTTGAATTAATCTTTCGGTATTCTTCATACCAGGTGGAAAAGGGTTGCCCTTTGACTTCTGGTTCAAAATAGCAGAAGTCAAAATAGCTTCTACATTTAGCTCTTGAAAAACAGTAGGGCCAATAATGCCCACATCTTTTCCCACATCTTTTCTGACCATAGGGGTGCTCAATTGACTCGTCACATTGTCTGGGCCAACTGGTGCGTTTTAAGAAGATGAGGGATCAGTTGCAATATGCTTTTCCAAGCTAACCTTATTAGAATCTTTGCCAAGTTGAAACTCTTCGTCTGTCAAGACTTCTTGCAATATTTGGATATCCAAAGGATTGGAAGAATCTGCAATCAACGAAGTCCTTGAATGCTGAATGGAGGGAAAATACGGCCTGGTAACTTCATTTATGGTAACCACGTTTACCACAAACACTCCAACAGATTTAGTGTTGCTGAAGAGATTTTCTTCAAACCTCCGAGATGGATTCCAATGGCCCTGAAGCAATTTGTGTTCCAAAGCTCTAAAGGTAAGTCGCAGATTTTCACGCAGCCACCAAAACAAACTGTCATTTCGTTCCTGCCATGTTTTTCAAGATCCCACTTCTCCATCTTCACGTGAATTCCATCTAACTTGCGCCATTTACTATTGAGCCAATCAGAGTTCAAGGGCCTTCCACTTTCGAATCTAAAACAACAGACCCGGAAAATTTGATTACTATTGGGCCATTTACTATTGCGCCATTTACTTGGGTTGTCAAAATGTTTGATTATCAGACCCAGAATGGGTTCTGTTTTTTGTAACAACAGTTGCTTCCCATTGCAAATATAAAACAGGTTGCCTTTATCATTGGCTTTATTAGTTGGATTGCTGTTTAAGGGTAACAGAACCACAGTTTTACCCATCCAAGAAAACTAATGTGTTTTCTCTTCCTTTATGGAGAGCTTGAGTGTCATATTGCCAAGGTCTTCCTAAAAGGATGTGGCATACATCCATATCCAAAACATCACATGTAATTTGGTCTTTGTAACTATTGCCAATAGAAAGAGGAACTGTACATATAGTATTGACCAACACTTCTCCTCCTTTCCGAATCCAACTAACTTTGTATGGATTAGGATGAGGAGAAACCTTCAAACTCAAAGCTGTAACAAGCTTGCTGGAGACCACGTTTTCAGTGCTCCCACTATCTATAATGATGTTACAAACTTTACCATTAATTGTACATCTTGTACGGAATAAAGAATGTCTTTGATGGTTGTGGCTAGTTTTTGGAGTTAGTAGAATGCATTCCAAAACGCAAGCCACTTGTTCTCCATCGTCAGGTTCAATGTAGTCCACTTCTTCGTCATATTCTAGGTCACCAGATTGGTCAAAATCTTGGGATTCTTCCAAGAAATTGACTGTTTTCCGTTGTGAGCATTCATTTGATAAATGTCTCACTTGCCCACACCGAAAACATTTCCCTAACGTGGGCCTTGAGTAAGCATTAGCTGTTCTTTTGGTAGTTTGTTCGGTTGGTTTTAGATCCTCAGATCCTTTGCCCTTGGCAGTAGATGAAGTACTAGGTGTTGCTTTATCAAAAAAAGGAGTACCTTTCTTGGAAGAACTAGGTTGATTGTCCCCTGTATGTCTTCTTTGGTATTGAACTCGAAACCGATTAGCCTGTTGTTTTTCTACAGTGATGGTGGTGGCTATTGCCTCATCAAGAAACCCAATTGGCCGAAGTTGAAGTTTTTCTTTGATGTCCAGGCGAAGGCCACTAATAAACCGAGCTACTTGATATTGATCCGATTCACCAGGATTGGTTCTTGCCCCTAACCGATGAAACTCCTCTGTATAATCAGCAATGGTACGAGTCCCTTGTTTGCAATTTTGGTATTGATTGTATAAAATCTGCTCAAAATTAATAGGAAGAAATCTGCCCCTCATAAGTTTTTTCATCTTTTCCCAAGTACGAATAAGGGCCTTACCAAAACGGTGTCGATTGGTTTCTAATTGCTCCCGCCAAGTGGATGCACCACCTTTTAGTTTAAGGGCCACCAGCTTTACTTTCTTGTGATCAGGAGTTGCCATATATTCAAAGAAACTTTCCACATTCTTGATCCATTCAAGAAAGGCTTCTATGTCCATCTTTCCATCAAAATGAGGTAAATCCACTTTCATTTTGTAATCACCTGGATCGCGGTGGTGCTGGTTGTAGTGATTCTGTTGCCTGCCATCCCTCTACTGCTGGACATCCCGTCGCCTACCATCTCCCCACTGCTGGAAATCTTCTTCTTCACTTGAAGAATCAACGTGAGCTTCTTGCCGCCAAGGGTATCTACCCTGTCTTCGAAGATGATGATGATATCTCTGCCAATCTTGGAGTTGTGGAGGTGGAAAACGAGGTTCGAAATATTCCCTCGGCGCTCTGTTATAGAGATCTTGGTTTGGAGTGTGAGGAAATTCGGTGTTTCTTTGAGGATTAGGGATGGGTTCTTGGTGCAATCTTGGAACTGGAAGTTGCGTACCACGGCCAATTGTAATACCCTGTTCTTGTATGTCTTTCCCATTTTTCTTTCTTGGTTGTGTTTCAAACTAAAGTTGAATGTTGTCGATTTTCTCTACCTACACGTTCAAAACTTGACGAATCTCAACCACATTCCGCTGCATTCTACAGCCCCTTCAACCATCAAGATTCGAGTGGTTGACGATCGTGGAGAGAGGACGGCAGTAAGTTCCGCCTCTTTTTCAGCGAGTGAAGAGTCTCCTCCCAATGGAGCATTCTTTTTTCCCGCCATGCTTAAAACCCCAAGGATTTTTTTGGATGCTCTGATACCAAATTTGATGCAAGTAATCGAATGGAATTCTTATTAATGGGAATCTGCCTTAAAGATACATAAACCAGCCTTTAAATAGGCAAATAGAAAGGACACGGTAACAAGTAGTTACCATAGAGTAACTACTAACTAACCATAAAAGACTTAACTAATAAAAGGATTGTACTGTATGCTAACGTATAAGAGAGTTAGCTACATCACAATCTGTTTCCGCAACTTCATATTCCTTTTGAACCCAATAAGAGTTGCTCCATTTTCTTTTCTCGAAAACCTCATCCTTTACGGTAGGGGATGCCATCATACTATCTCTGTCGTTAGCCCTCTATACAAATGAAGAGTTGGAGATGCCCTGCAACACCTTTCATTTGAAATTCACCAAAGAGTCTTTTAGCATGTCCTAAAAGGTTACCCAACCGATCTTTCTAAACCCTGCAGGTACAGTTATGAATTTTCTTCCACCCGAAGAGGGCGGCCAAACAACACATTCCAAAAACCAACCTTTCAAGAGTCTCTTTTTCTGTAGTCGACAAGTTCTGTTCCCATCCTTAACTTGCATGAAAAACCTTGAATACAAAGGAAAATGTAAAAGTTCCATTAAAGCCTTTTCTAACCACTGAAGCTGGGAAAGTTGAAGAAAAAATTGAAGATTCTTCCTAGAGTCTTTTATGAGAAAACAGTCACTGTCACACCAAATCCAATAATAATTGTCTTGAATGCTGCAACTTCTCCAATCCATTTGAAAGCAGCCTAAAAATACGGAGACGTCGGTGAGCTGGTTGGGACGGATGTGACTATGGTAACGACAAAGGAGAAGGCGGTGGATTAGGGTTAGGAGGGCGTTGACGGTGGGTTAGGGTTATGAGGATGTTGGCGGCGGGTTAGGGTTAGAAGGGCGATGACGCCTGGAAGAAAGGTTAGATCGGCGGGAAGGGTATGGATAGGGTTAGAGTGGTGGCTAGGGTTAGGGTTGGCAAGCAGCGGCGACGGCGGAAAGAGGGCCGTCATCGTCTGGAGGAAGGGGTGAGTCGGCGGCTAGGGTTAGGGATAGGTTAGAGTAGCGTCTAGGGTTAGGGTTGACGAGCAGCAGCGATGGTGGGCGGTGTGGTGCCGTCTGGAGGAGTGGCTAGCGCGGGGATAGGGTTAGGGTTGGGAAGGAGAAGGGAGAGAGAAAGATGTTTTAAGGCAAACTATTTCTATATTGTTATATATGATGATTAGAAATTGTCAATTGAGTCACAATTAAAGCTATAAACTATTGCATACTAGTTCCATCAATTCTATGGTTTCCATGATTTTTTTTTTGGTGAAATTTCCATTGACATTCACATTCCTGTGAAATCGAGACTTCAAAATTTCCAACATCAATATTTTGAACATTGGTTCTAAGTTATTTCATTTAGCTGGATATTATGTTATGCATTTGGTGTTAAAACTTTGTCTTGAATATCATTTTTTAATGCTCAGTTTTTGGGATATGAGTATTGTTATCTCTTTTGATTGGGAATTGTTCTATATTAGTTTTTCTTCTGTTTTGATGATATAGGAAAGTGGCTTGGGAGTCGACAGATTAGGTGTAATTGGGCCACGAAAGGTGCTAATTCTGGTGATGACAAACAGAGTTCAGATTCCAGAAGTGTTGTAGAGCTTACGACTGGAACTTCAGGTATTTCATCAAGAGTCTTTAACTCTGAGATGTTCAACTTTAATTAGAACATTTGGTCTGTATCTGGCTCGTTTATATCGTATATTCATTTCAAAGTCTGGTTAGATACAGACCAAATGTTCTAATTAAAGTTGCTTCCATCTTCAACAAACCATATTGTAATAGAGAGTAAAAGAATCTCACTATGAAGGAAGAGCGGGCCGGATGATGGAGAGACGAGCCGATGCACGAAGTTGGAGGAGCATGACAAACATGAGCTATGTCTAAGAGTAGGAAGAAGGGTCTACCTCTGTGTTAGTTTAGGGAGAGAATAAATGGGGCCCCCAATATTCTAGGTTTTTTTTTTCCCTTTTATATAGAGCATCGGTCTAGTTTGGGTTTTCTCATTTTTTTAGTATAAAACCGAATCAAACTAAAACTTTTTAGTTTCGTTGGTTTTCGTTAGAAAAGAAGAATGGACGCTCTAGTTGTCCTTGGTTCAACAACGAATATGGCAGCCATATAAGGGTCGATCCTTTGGCAGGTGGGTTTTGCTTTTGCTGTAAATTGGGGTCATTGGTTGGAAAGGAACAATATAATTTTTAGAGATCAAGAGAGGTCTTCTGAGATGGTGTGCTCTCATGATAGGTTTAATGCCTCTGTTTGGGCATCAGTTACCAAGAAATTTGTTCAAACGTGAGCTGTGCTTCTCAAGGGTGGCCCCTCCATTGTCAAATGAAGATCCTCTCCTGGAATGTTTTTAGAGGCTCATGCCCTTATCAAGCAATCCATCTCCCAAGTAAATCCAAATATGGTTATCCTACAAGAGGCAAAGCTCTCTCAAATCGATAGCGTCATTGTTAAATCCTTCTGGAGCTCACATGGGATCAATTGGGCCGCCCTTGACGCCACTAGAACAGTAGGAGGGATTCTCATCCTTTGGAATGATCTGGACTTCGTGGCGGTGGAAATCAGGAAGGTGTCTTCTCCCTCACTATAAACTTTTGTTTAGCTGATGGTTCTCCCTTATGGTTAACAGGAATTTATGGACCATTTACTACAGAATATAGACATCTATTCTGGCAAGAGCTTCGAGACCTTTTTTTTCTGTGTAGCAACCAGTGGGTCTTGGCTAGAGACTTCAACTTCTCTCGTTGGTCTTGGGAGAAATTACATGGGTGACCTCTCACAAAGAGCATGCGACTCTTCAACTCCTTCGTCAAGGACTCTGCCCTCACTAAGATACCTTTGTCCAATGGTAAACACACATGGTCAAATAGCATATCCTTCTCTTTAATTGACAGATTCCTACTCACCAATGACTGCATTACCACGTTCAGGCTCCCAATAGCAAGGAGGCTGGTCAGAACTACCTTTGACCGCTTTCCCATCCTCCTTGATTCTGGTCAGAATAAGTGGGGTCCCGCCCCTTTTAGATTTGAAAATATGTGGTTAACTCACCATGCTTTCCTCCCCTTCCTCAAAAATTGGTGGAGCAGCAACCCTACCAATGGCTGGTTGGGTCATGGTCTTATGATGAAACTTAAAGCCCTAAAATCTGCCTTGAAGACTTGGAATTCTTAAAATTTCGGGTGCCTGCTTACACAGAGGGAGACCCTGGTGAAGGATATTAGCTCTATTGACGAATAAGAAGTAAGATCCCCTCTCACACCAACACAAATCATTGACAAGGCTCGTGAAGACCTTATTTTATTGGCAGCAAGGGAAGAAATCTATTGGCATAAAAAATGCAAGCAGAAATGGCTTGTGGACGGGGACAAAAACACCAAGTTCTATCACAGATCCCTTGCTAACAAGAGGTGAAGGAGCACCATCACAGAAATCTTATCTAGGCAGGAAACAATTTGACACGGATTGATGACATTGAAGGAGAGTTCATAGACTTTTACAAGTCTCTCTACACCAGAAAGGAAGGTACTCACCTCTATCCAACGAATCTACTTTGGGAGCCAATCACCAATGCCATAGTGTAGGGGTGTTCATCGGTCGGTCGGGTCGGTTTCTAGGTTGNATTAAAAATAGAATTCAAAGTCCAATTCCATATTCAAAAGAGAGTCAAAATTTCAAGTACTAAAAAGTACTAATACTTCAAAATCCAAACTTATAAAATAGAAATACTAACAAAATTCTAACACAACTTCACAAACTATTACATCGAAACCTTTGTAAGATCTTCAACGTCTTCAATATTCTTTTCCTCACCCAATGACCCTAAATCCTATAAAATTAGATGAAATAAAAAAATTAGACAACAATGTTAGGATTGAATAGAAAAAGATTTAGAAAAATGAAAAAAAAAATAGAATCGATACCTTCTTCAAGCATTGAATCTTCATCTAAGTATTTATAGAAATCAACGTCTACCGGCTCGAAATTTAACCAATTTTGAGAACATATAAGAGCTTCAACTATTTTTGGAGCCAATGAACAATGTGAAAAGTCAACTACACGTCCTCTAGTACTGAAAGCCGACTCAGATGCCACAGTCGAGATCGGAATCGCCAAAATATCTCTACTAATTTGGCTAAGAATCTTAAATCGACAACTATTTTGCTTCCACCATGGAAGTATGTCAAACTTACTATATTCTTAGCAATAGATTCTAACAAGTACACATGGATCTCCGACTCGTTATTAGGAGTTATAGTCTCTTTGCTTCGAGAAATTAGACCCCAAATCATAACCCTCATCAAAGTTTGTATCCAAGTCCATACTAGAGTATTGGTACATTGAGCAACAATTGATGTATTACCACTACCATTTGCACTACTATAAGACAAACTAAAGAAAGAGACGCCACAAAACATACTCCATCTTATCTGTCATGCTTTTAGCCATTTCAGGTCCTAACTTCTTCAAACAATATGACAAAAATTTCAACTTATACCATGGATCCAACACAATTGCAACATACAACAAAATATTGTTCTTCTCACTATTTCCCCAATACTTATCAAATTTAGCCTTCATGCTCTTAGCCATATTACAAAGAGACTTCATTGAATTCAAATGTACGCAATTTTTAACTGTGCTAATCTCATGATAAATCAAATTCGATGTGGTATACAAAGATCCAAAAATTTTCAAAGTGACATTATAAAAGACTTTCAAAAACCTAACCAATATCCTAGCATTCGCCTAATCCTCCTTACTAGGCCGTAATTCCCTCACATAAGTAGGTTTTTATCCTCTAGTCTATCAAAAGCTTTTTCAAATTTTGTAGCTGCATGAAACATCATATATGTAAAGTTTCATCTAGTAGCAACATCAAGACAAACAATACTCTTACAAGATATCTTAGCAATTTTTGCACACTTCCTAAATTTCAAAGCACGTGCAAGAGAAGATCTCACAAATCTCACATCATTGCAAATATTACTAATGCAAACATTATGATCCTTCAAAGCATCACACACAATAAGATTTAATATGTGTGTGCAACATCTAACGTGCATATATTTGCCCTCAAATAACAACCCCTCATTGAACCTCTTGATAAGATATGCAACGACAGTATGATTTGAACTAGCATTGTCAACAGTCAAAGCCATAACTCTTTCAATCCTCCATTCCTCCAATTTGTTCTCAATAGTCCTACCAATGGTATCTTCTTTATGATTCTCAATTGGACTAAAACTAAGAATCTTCTTATGTAATTATCAATCAAAATCAATTAAATGAGTAGTCAATACCATATAGTTTATATTTTGTCCAGAAGTCCAACAATTGATAGTGAGAAAAACGTTATAGTTTTGTTTTTGCCTTAAACATGTCTTCCAAATCTTGTTTCTCACTAAGATATATCTTCAGAATATCCCTAGCCATAGTCATTCGAGATGGAACAACAAACCTAGGCTCAAACAGACCTATGGATTTATTAATAAATCTTCGAAAACTCTTATCATCCACAAACCTAAAAGGCAATTCATCTATAATGATCATATCAGCTAAAGCTTTTCTATAACTCTCCAAATGAAATGAATCACAAACAAGTTTTGAATCAGATTCCAAAACACCATCAACAGGTTCTTGATTTTTTAAAGCTAATAATTTTTGGGTTGGATCTCTCTTCTTTTGGTAAAGGTATTTCTTGCAATTTTCTATGTGAAATTTTAAAGCTTCCGTCCTATTACTCTTAGGATGACATGCATACGTATTTCCACAATATTTGCATATAGCTTGAGGATTAGAAGGATCACCTTTCAATTTCTCAAAATGATCTCACACTATACTTTTGATATTCTATTTACGCTTCCTTCTTTTTAGACTTGAAGAACAACCTGCCACTGGATCTAGATCTATGTTCATAGTACCAACTTTCTTTCCAACCGTCATACCTCTTGGATGTTCCGATGCATTCATATTAACTCTGCAAAATATATAACAATTTTGTCAACAACAAGTGGAATGAACAACCAAACTAGAAGAACTTATATATTTTCAGCAATGGTTGGTTTTCTTACACTTTCTTTTTTTTGGCTTTTTTCTCATTTACATTTGCATGATCAAATCAGATTCCATTTGTATTGATTTCATTTTAAATAGTAAAAAACTTGTTTTATGTGTGCCATTACGGAGTTCTAAAGGCAAGTTGGTTTTTAATTTTTTCTTGAGTTATTTTTTTAGTTCCAATTTTCTAGTTTCATCTAAGCAAATGCCACTTGTGAAAATGGAGGTCTGATGCTAGTTTCATCACTTCTACAGAAACTAAAGAACACTAAGAATCACTCAAACAACTTATATATTTTTCAATTGAATAAGAATAGATTTAAATAACTTACTCCTCTGAACTCGAATCCAGCTTGAAAATGGAGGTCCGATGCTGATGGGAGGATCAAAATCTGAGTTGCGGGACTGGGTCGCGGCGGGGGTTGGGTCTCGGCAGTGGCTAGGTCACGTTGTAAAGTGACCGACGGGCGACGAGCTTTGAGCGACGGAGCTCGATGGTGTCACGGTGGCGAGGACGATGCAACGGAGGAGAGGGAGAGTGTGAGTCGTTTGTGGGCGATGCGGTGGCGAGCTGTGGCTGGGAGAGTGTGGATATGAGGGAGAGAGAGATGGAATCTGAAATGGGAGAATGGAAGTAGAAAAAGAAGAGAGGGAGAAGATGAAAAGAAGAAGAAATAAAGAAGAAATAATGGAAGTGAAGCGAAGAAAGAAGGGTGAGAAGGAAGATTTTGAGAAATGGGAAGAAGGGAGAAGAGAGAGGAAGAGATAACAAATGTAAAGGTAAATAATGAGTAATATTGGGAAATGGGAGATGAGAGATGAGAGAGGAAAGAGAAATAAATAAAAAATAAATAAAAGTGTTGTATGGTTTCGAGAAAACCATGTGCGCTCCTAGTTTTTTCTCCAAACCGCCTTGAAGAACGTACCAATCTACACCTATAGAACTGAAAAAGTCAGTCGGTCGGTCAGTTTTTCTTCATCTGGAACCACCGACCGACCGACTGGTCGGTTTTACAAAAGGTAAAACTGACTCTGATCGACCTGCTGCTGAAACCAACCGAATCGACACGGTTCGATCGGTTGTAGCGGTTTTTTGGGGCATGATGAACACCCCTACCATAGCGTACTGTTGGAACAAGAATTCACAGAAGAGGAAGTTCTGAGGGTAGTTAAGAACTTAGGTGCTGATAAAGTCCCTAGCCCAGACGGTTTCACAGTGGAATTTTTCCAAAAAATCTTGGAACATCATTAAAGCCGACATCATGGCGATGTTCCACGATTTTTTCAAAAATGTAATCATCAACGCAGCTCTAAATGAAACCTACATATGTCTCATCCCAAAGAAGAAAGGTGCAAAGACTATTCATGACTACCGACCTATAAGCCTTATTCCTTGTGCTTACAAAATCGTAGCCCATGTCCTCTCCGATAGGCTTAAAAAGGTTCTCCCACACACCATCACTGCCTATCAATCAGCTTTTGTGGAAGGAAGACAAATCCTCGATTCTTCTCTCATTGCGAACGAAATCATTGACGAATGGAAAGAGAAAACAAGACGGTGCAGTGATCAAGCTAGATCTTGAAAAAGCTTTTGATATGGTTGACCGGGAATTCTTAGATTCTGTGATGTACCACAAAGGCTTCAGGACAAAGTGGAGAAACTGGATTCGCACTTGCATCTCTACCACAAGCTCTTCCATTATTATCAATGGAAAGCCTAGATGGAAATTCACTGCCACTAGAGGCCTATGCCAAGGAGACCGCTTGTCTCCTTTTTTTCTCATCATGGTCACGGACGTCCTTAGTCGGCTTCTCACCCTTGGAGAAAAACAGAGGACTTCTCAAGGGGTATGTATCCAGATATGGCAGCATCAAGATAAATCACCTTCTATTTGCTGACGATACCCTCCTTTTCACTAGCAAGGATCAGCAAGTATCAGAAATCTCCACCTCATAGTCAAGGCTTTTGAAGTTGCATCTGGACTTAACATCAACTACAATAAGTCAGAAATCCCTGGCATGTCGCTGGAACCACAGATTGCTAATGCCATAGCCAGAGGATGGGGCTGCAAATTGGGTACCTGGCCTACTACTTACTTGGGCCTCCCACTGAACGGCAATTCTAGGGAGGAATCTTTTTGGTTACCCATTATAGAAAAGCTGGAATATCGTATCAACAAGTGGAGCAATTCTTTCATCTTAAAAGGGGGAAGACATACTATTTTTCAATCGGTTCTCGCTAATTTACCCACTTACTATCTCTCTTTTCAACCTTCCAGGACAGGCTGCCAAAAGGATTGATAAAGTCATCAGAGACTTCCTTTGGGAGGGACCAAGCAAGAAAGGAAAGCTTCCCCTAGTCAATTGGAACAGCTTCCACTACTTGAAGTGGGCATAGGCATTGGTAACGTCAGGAAAAGGAAAAGAACATCGCCCTTCTATCCAAGTGGATTTGCGCTTTTTAATGGAGGCAAATCAGCTTTGGAGGAAATTCATATTGGCAAAGTATGTTGGGACCCCTCCGCAATTTCCGCAATTTGGCCATCAAACCGTTTCATCTCCTACAAAGGCCCTTGGTGTGCAATCCTTCAGCATACTCAAATTATTAAGGCAAACGCCTACTGTCAGATTGGAGAAAACAGCCTCCTAAGCTTCTGGAATGATAGTTGGTTGAATTTAGAGATTTTGGCCACCCGCTTCCCCAGACTCTACGCTGTCACCTTGAACAAAGATGCCAAAATCATGGATCTTTGGTCCAAGGCCACAGCATCTTGGGATTACAACTTTCGTTGACCACTTAAAGATGATGAGTTAGAGGAATGGCTACAACTTTCACAAATTTTAAACAGATTTGCCCCTCCCCCACTGGCGATAAATGGATCTGGACAAAGGATCCCACAAAAAATTACAGCACAAAGTCTTTCTTCTCTCTATTGACCTCCGCCGAGGATAACCAGCGCCCTCCCCTCTACCGTAGCTTCTGGCAAAGGGAAATATCCTATGAAAATCAAGCTCTTCTGCTGGGAGCTTAGTCACCGCGCAATCAATACTCATGACAAGGTCCAAAGATGACTGCCACATATGGCCCTCTCCCCAAACTGCTGCCATCTTTGCTATATGGCACCAGAATCTCAAGGTCATCTCTTAGGCAGACCGGTCACCCCTTAAAAAAAAACGAATGCAATCCTTTGGATCCAAATCATTAGAGCTTTTCTATGGAAGTTATGGATGGAAAGGAACAACAGGATCTTTAACGACTCCTCTCTTCCTTTTGAGATCTTTTTGATAGAGCTATTGTACTTGTCCTAGAATGGTGTAAATGTTTCTACTTCCCATTCATTAGTTACAAATTAAATGACCTTATAGCAAATTGGAAGGTGTAACTTATCTTTATGGCCTTTTGTATATTTCATATCATCAACGAAATACATGTTGCTTACTAAAAAAAAAGTATTGTTCTTATTATTTAGGTCTTTTTACGTTGAATTGCAGCTTTTTATTGCATAGTTAGCCTTCGGACTCTGTTTGCGGGCTGTCTTTTTGTATGCCCCTTGTCTTTGGGCCGTCTTTTTGTTTGGCTCTTTTGCCTTTGTTCTCTTTCATCTTTTCTCAATGATATGTTGGTTTTTTATTAAAGAAAAAAAAAATCCACATATCTAAGTCTCAACTTTGTAATCTTGAATTACACAAGTCTAACCTATGAGTAAACCACCACTAAATGTTAAGTGCCTGTGAATTTCTTAACTGTCAATGTTGTGAGTTCTGATCTCTAATTTTGAGTGCGGTGAATACTTCAAAACTGATGAAAATTTCTGGTTATTAGTATTTATTGACAACACTTTTATCAGTGAACGTTTTTCCTTTTTGAGCCTTTTATTTTCTTCATCACTGCTCTCTGCAAACTGCATCTCTCTTATGAGACATTTATATTTTTGCCTTTATTAGTTTTAGTTTCACAACCTTGTCATGGCTCTTTTTGCAGAAGGTGGTCAAGAGAAATCCAATGAGGAGGCACCTGAGAACAATCCTCAATACACAACCGTATATGTGGGAAATCTTGCTCCCGAGGCAAGGAAATTATTTTGATAATATAATAGCAACTAATATGCTAATAATAGTTGTTGAAACAGCTAACTTGGGTGAACCTGCAACTGGATGGCTTGTCAAAGTTCTCTGCCATCTCTAAACGAATAGGCATGATGGTGATGCGTTTCTAAAATTTATCTAAGAAAGTTTATGGCTTGTATCTTTTGTTTGGCTCCTTTTATGGTGGGCTGTGCTTTTTGTTGGATCTTTTTATTCCTTCATTTTTCTGAATGAAAATATGGTTTTCATAAAAAGAGAAAAGTTATCTAATGTGCAGTACAAGCAATCCTTCCTTTTCACAACTAAAAACTGGACTAAAAGCATGTCAGTTTTTTCATGTTAGCTTGATCCTTTTAGGATTGTGTCATTGTCAGTGTTTATGGCTCTGCAGGTTACTTCAGTTGATCTCCACCGTTATTTTCATGCCCTTGGTGCCGGGACAATTGAAGATGTTAGAGTACAACGGGATAAAGGTTTTGGTTTTGTGAGATACAGCACTCATGCTGAAGCAGCTCTAGCCATTCAAATGGGCAATGCTCGAGTTCTCTGTGGCAAACCAATTAAGGTACAGCCTTGATGAAAAATGTACAATTTTGTTCTATAAATAGGTTAATTAGTCATCATTTTACGATTTAGTTCTTAGTGTCAATATTTATTTCAAACTTGGTTATCTGGGCGGACAATTTATGTTGCGTGAAGGGGACCGACTGATTCTTATGGGTTAAGTTAATGCGGGTTCATTGGGAAAATTTATTTGCGTGACTGTAGGACTTGAAACTTCATTTATCCACTTAATCTTTTTGCAATCAAATACTGCAGTGCTCATGGGGCAGCAAGCCAACCCCGCCAGGGACTAATTCTACCCCTCTTCCACCACCAAATGTGGGACACATGCCAGGTCTCTCTGCGGCTGACCTTGCTGCCTATGAACGGCAAATGACATTGAGCAAAATGGGTGCGGCACAAGCGCTAATGCATCCACAGGCGGCTCAACATGCCCTCAAGCAGGCAGCCATGGGAATGGGGATGGGAATTGGGATGGGTGGTGCTGGCACTAGTCAAACTATATATGATGGTGGGTTCCAAAATATTGCAACCACCCAACAGCTCATGTACTACTAGGTATTTGGATTGCTGTATGATGCTTGTAGTTCATTGTCGAACTAAAGAAATAGTGTTGCGTCTTTTGGGATTATGACCCAAGAACTATCTTAAATTGCTGCGTTTGGCAATGTAGTGGTAGGCTGGTAGGGGGGGATATTGCAGAGTGATTTTAATTTGTTTACTTTTAATGGTTGTTCTAGTTTGTAATATCTTGCTAGAGAAAATACGGTGGCACATCTGGAAATAAGTTCCAATCCTCGAATCTTGATAGCCCTCTAAATTACTTCATTACAGTTTCCTTTTTCAAAGGTTTAGTTCTCTGACTTGTTGATATGCCTTGATTGCTGAATACTGTATAGGGTAAGTGACAAGAAAATATGTTTTGGAAGGATGCCCGTGAAAAGAAGTGGGCGCATGTGTACCGCAGTGCCGGCAGACAGTGCTACCTCTATTCTAAGGGGCATGTCAAGAGCTCCGTGGACTCTCATTGAGCCCCCTTATAATTTAGTTTGGTTTGGTTTGGTTTACTCTCGTTTTGTTGGCTCATTTTACACTTTTCTCCAACAAGCTAAAGATTAAGATAACATTGTGGAATAATTAGGACCCGGTAGGGGAATCCCCATGCCCCCTCTCAGAAACTCCAAAGAAAAGAACCTTGACTGACGATCCCATTCCAATCTTCTTCATAATCAGTTGGAGGGAGGTAGAGATGCTTCAAGCAGATCATCGAAAAGCTTTTTTGCAGTAATCGCTCCCATTAGACCCATGACTAGTTGACCTGAGGCTCCTTAATGGATCTTCTAACTGAATTAAATACAGTAGAGGATGCAGGTGTATGGTGGTGGATGATGAATCTCGGGTTAATTGGAATGGTTATTAGCAGAGCGGCTTGCTTGAGTGTCATGGGATCCTAACCAAATTCTCTTGCAGCTATGGGGAAGGCAAATTTCGAAAACACATCCCATTTGCACTTTTAACACCTTAACGACAATAACTTGAATTGAGGCTTGGAAATGGGAACACTAAGACTAAACATTCCAAAGCAGCTGATTAGTAAGCAATTATGTCTCAAAGAAAATGTTCGTCCCCTTGAATCTCTCTCGATTCATCTAATTTTCTTTTCCGCTTGTTTTGTTTTTATTCCTAGCATAACCTACTAGTTTTCCTCCTCTCTTTCCTATGTCTTTTGAGTGGGTAGGAGGATGGATATAACGATAGAGAAAAAAAATAGCCAGAGGGATTTGTTTAATCTTTGGACTAAAGTTCATATATAGTACTTAGTAGTGGCTAGTTAAGTGAATTGTCGTGCTATAATTCTTGGCAATTAAGACCAATTCATCTGGCCTCCACAACACTACCGTGGCAATCCACCAAACTAAAGCCATAATTTGGGCATTCTGTTTACATCTTTTCTGCACTCTTCTTACTTTGAAATACTAATAGCTTTACAAGAGGTCTGAGCCTAACAAAAAATCGTTGATTGATTGGATGTAACTCTTGGTTTGAGTTCATATAGTCTTTTAGAGGAAAAATGTACAGCTATCCTACCTGATGTTACAGTGATGGTAATGGAAATATGCAGCATTTCTTTTCCTTCTTTTCCTAAACCTCACTCAGATTACAGCATAAAATTAGGCTTATCATCATATCTACAAGGGTTGTTGTCCCAGTTGGTACATACTCTGGGATATAAACGACATTTGTGTTACAATTTACACGAACAAAGTGGGTCAAGCTGTCTTCACCTTCAAGCTTGACTTCATCATGACTAGTATTTGATTCAGTCAGGTGCCAATTGTATAGGTGCTCGGAGTGAAGAAAGTTGACATAATAGCTTTAAACTAAATCAACTTCATGATATGCTTTAGGCCGTCTACCAAGCATTCGTGAACAGAGCTCCATTTCCCACTAGAAATGGCAATTGGGTCGCAAGATAGTCTCCACATTCGCCGTGTATATGATATTCACTGAGCTAATATTTCCTGAAGCAGTTCCATTCCTCACCGCAGAAGCTGATTGGAACCTTTTTGGAACGTTCCAACATATTTTAATTAAGAGTAGCAACCCAGATGCCAGGAGACATGGTCAGTTATACATTGGACTCCGTAAACCTCATCGATTGAATGATGCGGCCGAGTTGTCATCATACTGTCCTCTCCATGCATTTCCACTATCCGTCCCACTGCAAGCTTGATTGGGAGCCTGAATGTGACCCAAATCTCCATCCAAACTCATCTGTTGTACTTCAGCGGATGACAGGATCTTTATGCTCTGAACACAGCTCACGAACTCACTGTGCAAGCAGTTGGTGATTAGAATATTAAGACAGGAAAAAAGCAGGGGGAAAAGGTTAAGCACAATGATTAACAATATTCTACTTACTCCCAAGGATCGTCACCAACTAGAAGTATATCATTTTCATGATCCACATAAACAAGTTTCCAATCAGTTCGTTGTGGATCTTCTAACTGCCCTTCAATGCCAAACATGCGGGCAAGATCATGTCTAAGCTCATCATATCCTTTGTAACGAGTAACATCGATACATCTACCCACTGATCCACGCTTTTGAACCTTCATAATTTAGCAATTTTAGATGCTTGAAAGTATAGTTTCAGTCAGAGTTCAAAATATCTCAAATAAGTATGAAGTTTCAAGCTCGCATCCTCACAATTCTTTGACAGAACAGTGAACATCACAACATTGCTAGAGACGCATGTAAAAGGGAACTTGATCTTGCATGCTACACTCTAGGTAGAAACATCAATCTACAAATGGATATACAAAATATTGTAGAACTCCCTTGTTAAAATTCAAATAAAATTTAAAAAGCCAAAGTAGAGGACCGGAGATTCAAGAACAGCTAGAACTTACTTAGAAAAAACAAAATTTTGGTAAAGTCCATATAATTAAATGCAGTAATAAACAAAATTCTTGGCCATGCCTACATGGTGGCAAATCGAGTTGGGACTTTTTTGTTCTTGATAAGACCAGACAAGATAAATATTTTTGAAGAGATCCAACATTTCAATATTATCAAGTAGAAAGCTCTTAATTATATAAAATAAAATTTGGCTAGAATCTGATTCTGTTATACAAATTCGGTTTTTCCAGGTTATATTTAGTAAATTATGCCTACAGCATTTCTCATCATATTCATACATACATAACTATGTATGTAGTCTTATGAATCTACCAATTACCAAGTCTTGCCTCCCTAATAAATGTATTCGAACCAAATTCAGTTTGAAAGCCATCAACAACGTTTATTTGTTATTTGTTCTGAGATAAGAAACATTGTATTACCTAAAACATTAAAGAAAAGGAGTGGGGAGGATAATAGGACTAGAATAAGGTTCGTTAAGGATTGACTTAAATAACTACAAAAATGATTTATAAATGAACTCCAGATAGGAGGAAATATGACCAAGTCCACTGTCTCTTCCTCGTTCCTAGCCACACTATTAAAAACCCTATGTTCTCTCTGAAGTTAATGATTTTAAATTTCTTCTCCTACAAGTGAACTCTAACTTGAACATCTAGATAAGAAACAGAAAACAGTATTAAACAATCAAGTCCAATTTTAATCATTGATATCATTACTATTCACCTGGGATACTAGAGATCATATACGTAAAGTGGGGAATCAAACCTTTGTGTATGTCCGCATACGTTGACTGTGGTTTGCCCACAATCCACTACTCAAGGCTCCAGCTTCATTTACGTTGACATCATTTGAGCAGCCAGGCTTGAAAGGCAAGTTTGGAACCCCAAATGACTGGGAGCTGATTGCAGCAGTGGACAACTCTGTCTCAATATCTCTCGGCACTCCCCCACCATAGTTAGAAAGTAAGTTCTGAAGATCTTTTTGAGAGTCGTATCCCCTCGACAATAAGGTATCTGGTGCTAATCCATCAATGCTATTACTGAAAGGAATATTGTTTCGTGGATGTGATTGGACATCGTTATCCAAACATGTAGGGAGAGGAAAAGTCTGCTGAATGGTGCCAGCATCCAGACAATATGATGTTCCAGAAGAAGATGCCTCTAACTGATCAGGAACAGTGCCTTTATATTTTAGTTGGTCTGATCCTTTTGAGTTAGGAAACTCAGGTTTGATCCGCAAATCAGGTTTGCTTTGTAGCTCCTGGGCCAGATTAGTTGCAGGCTCAACTACTGAATCTCCCCCCAGAGTGGCTGCTACTTGTTGGTTCTTATTAAGCAGGTTTGATACAGAAACTTGGCAATTATTAGTGGAAGGTGAGGTTGAACAAGACGGGGCATCTCCATCAGTCAGTCCAGAATACGCTCTAATTGTTGGTTTGAATTGGTTATGCGATTGGGTTATAGGAACCTGCTGGGACTGCATGAGACCTAAACTTGAGAAGCCATTGCTGTTAAGTTTTTCTGTTGGGAAGCTGCCTCCATTAGCATTGAACTGTTGTTGATTGGACAAAGGCAATGGCGGTAACTGCTGGTTTTGCTGATGGACATGCTGCTGCTGTAGAAGCTGAGGTGGTAATAGTGAGGTAGCTGGGGACAGCAACGGTTGCTGCTGCTGATGTTGTTGCTGTTGCTGCAACTTCTGCAGCAGCTGCAGTTGAAGTTGTTCTGATGGGATTGGCTGTGAAAATTGTGGAACCTGTGGCTGCTGTTGTGGTCTTTGAGATAGACTTTGTTGCAATAATTGTAGTGGGGCCTGTTGAAATTGTGTCTGCTGCTGCTGCTGCTGCCTAGGAAGAAGGCTAGGTTGCTGCTCTATTTGTGGCTGAAACTGTGTTTCTTGCGATAAAGATGTAGTCTGAAATGAGTTTTTATTGGATGGTTGGCTAGTTTGATGTGATTGTATATTGCCTGCAAGCAACTGCCGTTGCTGTAGCTGAGAATATACAAGTGGTTGTTGCAAACTCTGATTTGGCAAATGGTTAGCAGCAGATACACCATTGTTCAGAAGAGCAGATGGGGAGGTCTGCTGTTGTCGTTGTGGCTGCTGGGGCAGCTGCTGCGAATGGAGTTGCTGCTGCTGGGGCAGCTGCTGCGACTGGAGTTGCTGCTGTTGTAGTTCCTGCTGGGGTGGCAACTGCTGCTGATGCTGTAACTGTTGGCTTGCAGGAACTTGTAATAATTGCTGCAGCTGCTGCTGTTGAGACCAAGTAGTTGGTGGCAATTGGCCAACTTGGTTCTGTTGATTTGCTTTGCTAAATTGGAGATTTGGTGAGGACAATACTGGTGCTTGAAAGCTCAATAATTTAGACGGGTCATCATTAGTAAGAGTTCCATGTAAAGCACTAGGAGCAACCATGGACGGCAAAATTCCAGATTGAGCTGCTGGGAACTGATTAGTGTGTTGCATGCTCATCCACTGCACTAAACTTAAACCAGGAAATATTGAGCTTGGTGTATCTTTCAAGCCAAAGTCATCACCAAACCACGGCATGGCTCTCTTAAAAGCATTTTCAATATCAGATTCGTCATCTGCAAAAACGATCCTGAAGGTCACTACAACATATTAGAGGAAGACGCAATACAGGAACTTCTCTCCTAATGCTGCTTTCAATTCACTTAACCACATTCTTATCCAGAAAAATTCACTTAACCACATGATTCCGAGGAAATTTTTGTAGGTTTAAATTACCTGGCATCCCTGGTTGTTTAGGGAATTTGGGTCTGAAAAATGGAGGTGGACATATGTAAAAGGGAGTCACAACAGGCTCAACTTCCCATATTGAAACTCGGTTTGGTCGTTCACCAGCTGCTGATTCATCCCATCCAACCTTCAGTAAATATATATCATTGGTAAGCAACAGAAGCAAGCCATTAACGCTTATGGATCGAGTATCAAAACTCATTTTGAAAGTGAAGGAAAGATAACATTTAGTCGAAGTTCAGTATAATCCTGAAAATGGAATGTTGATCTGATAACAGAAAATATAAGATCGTGTCACCATAAATATATCAACCAGTAAGAAGTTAAGCAATGATAAGTCCTAGAAAAGTAGTATTCAAATCCACGACCCAAAATGTTAAAAATTGCTTTCAAAATTTAACTTTATGTGTGTTATGAGCATTTGCACCTAAAATGGATGAAAGAACTGAATTCATTTTGGACAAGTCCCCAAAACGATTGAAGATAACAGAACGAGTCTTTTTGTTTGACACCTGCCAAGATGCTCCGTTACAATAGAATATTCTATTCCTTTTAAGTTTTACCAATGAAATTGAGAACATGAACTATAATTTTACATCATGTAAAAATTCATGTATCTAAACCCTTTGAAAATCTTACAGTACCTGAAGATTGCGCCACTGTGAATTTTTCCATCGCAGAGAGTCCATGTCACTGATACCAGTAATTGTGCCCATGTATCTGCGTACTCCTGACTCCTCAGTTTCAAACATCATCCTAAATCGCATGCCAAGTGAAACTTGCGTATACATTGCTTTATTATACTTGGCCAAAGGAATCACAAATTCAGAAGGACTGGCCCTGAAAAACTCGGGAAATTATTATCGATGTGGAAACTGAAATCGCAATAAAATTTTAGTATAGAGTCATAGGAAAGTATGAATCAATACCTAGGGTTGTAAAATATAGTAAAAGGACTGTTATTTGCAGCAGCATGAGCAGCAGAAGCAAGAATCCCGATGTGCATGCTATCACTTGATATGACTGATGAAGAGAGAGCTGGCTGCTGCCTATTAGCACGCCTTATGCCTAAGAGAAGCTGTGACTTTTCATCTCTATAACACATCAATTTATATTGATCAGTATTTATCTGAGCATTAATTTAGGTGAGTTACAACTGATGATTTCATACCTTATAAAGAGCACAGAGTCTCCAGCAAAGAGTCGTTTTGTGCTAACAAAAACACTCCAACCAGTGGTCAGAAGGTGCCTTTTTGGTTGGCCTGAAAATATGCAGTGTGCAGTTTTATGCATTTTCAACCTCATCAAAATGATAAAATTTATACTCGTGTTCTTCTGGGTACATGTGGGTTTATAAGTTCCCACCATCTCTAGTAGGAAAAGTTTTCGATAATAGAAATCACAATCTTCCAAATGAAAATGGACAGACAAAATACATGCAGATCTAGCCCTAGAAAAATAAAAGATAAAATCAATTTGAAGTAAACTTCTCGCTGAGATTTAACTATCCTACACAATACTTTCCTTATTGATGGTAATTAATGTAATGGAATATTGACAGAGCCAGGCGTTCTTAAGAAACAATGACGTCCACATCTTACTTTTTGTCCAATAAGGGTTCTCAAATCGAAGTGCTTGGGTTATAGTAATTTTCTTTAATAATTTCAAATACTATCTCTCTATCCATTTCTCGGTTCATATCATCAAAAACAAAATAAAATAAAATTCTACATGTAGACAACACCATATCTAAAAGCATCCCCCAAAATTGATATACACATCTTCCATTTGCCATCACTGGCAAAATAAATTAAAGAAAAAAAGAGGAGAAATTCTCTGATGTTTTGTTATAATGGAAAGCCCAAAAAGAAGTATGAACCGTCCAAAGCAAATATTAGCAGAGATCTTCAACTGAAAGAGACAGCAAATGAGAAAATATGAACGGTTACATACCACGGTAAATATGTCTGAATGTCCATGAATTATCATGCAAATCTCTAGCCACCAGTTCCTGAGCAGGGGGTTGCATCGAGTAATCCTATAATTAAAAAAACTTCAATATAAGCTTACAAGTACACACAAAAACGATATGATGTTCAAGAAATTTTTGGTTAAGCTAATTATTTTATCTTTGAGTTAATCCATTTCAAATTAGTCTTTAAAGTTTAAACTTAAAATTTGCATTATAACCTCAAAAAGTATATGCAAATAGAACACACAAATATTGTATATACAGTGCCCTCTCGAGGAAGGGGAATGAGATACCACCCAATGTAACGAAGCAAAATTTTCTCCAATTGGAGGGTTTTGCTGATGCTCTGGAGCCTTCATACTATGATGATGTGATCTTTGACAACATTTCTGATATTTTTCCAGCTTGAAGAGAGTGATATTTTTCCAGCCTGAAGAGAGTGGTGTAGTTTGTTTAATTCTCAGGAGCTTTGTTCTTTAATCATTTGGAGTTTTTTCTTT